GAAAGCATGGGGTGTGTAACACTGCTAATTGGGGTTGCATTGGGCAAACGTGATGGTCCCTACTCGGATATGTCTCATCTCTATCCTTACTCCGCAGGCGCGTAGAGGGGTGAGAAAGTAGACTCTCGAAAGGGTGCGCTGTGACTGACGGGGCCCAAAATGTTTAAGAAACATTAAGGAAAAAAATGTAAGTAACTTTCATCACCTTAATAATTAACATTAATAGAACGTTATATTGATAAGGACTCACTAAACTTACAATTTAATGTATAACTTATTTTCCCCAAAGTCCAGATTTCCAAAGCTCTCTGTACCGACCCCCCGCCCTGTCGTATTTTACGTGTAATGGTTCCGTGCTCACAAAGCGCAGTGCGGACCTGACCCGGGCACTTGTGAGAGACGTGAAGGAACATGTGAGGAGGCGATGCTAGTAACTATACATTGTACTTCGTGCCCATCGTCTCCGAACGACTGCACAAAAGTCAGCTCTAAGAAAAGACAGAGACAAGGAGAGAAAGGACAAGATGAGAGGGACTAAAGGCGACAGTATGGGTCACCGCGCAGTTTTCACAACGAAACAGCTGTGGGTCCAATGAGTGCGCTGGAGAATTATCTCCTGTGGAGCTAATGGTTTTGTGTTTACTAAGCTGTGACACTAAGTAACTACTGTTAATATCTTTACAGAAAGATCAGGAGGTTTTTTTCCATTTCCATGCTCTTTTCACCGCTGACATTTGTCTAAGGTAGGTAGGTAATTCACTCAGAAACACTTTTGTTATATCCATGAATGCTCTTAACCATCCCAATAGCAATGAATATATTAAATGCTTGACAATAAATACATACAAATATTGTCATCTGTGAAAGCCTTGCGCCGTAAAAAGCAGACTAATTTTTTTTCATCTGAGCCTTGCCCGGGCTAAAATACACTGGATGGCTACTGTGTCAGCCTTCATCTGTGACTAAATATCTCGTTGCTTTCTCCATTGTGTTGATTCCTCTATATTGTTGTGCTTATCGTTTGTGTTGTCTGGAGTGAGGTGGCTCTGTTAATGATATGTTCCTTGAATTGTATATGTGGCATGTTTTTTTTAGTTGTGTTATCTCATGCACTAGTGGGGCTATCTTTTGTCTAGCTGGTTTTTCATTCTTACCTCCCTTTAACCCTTTAAAATAAATGGCAGGCACATTTTTAGCGCCTATTCATACTAAATCAGTTGTCCGCTCCCCCCTCGTGGCCAGGACCAACAGTCGAGTCTTCAGGCTCACAGCAGCCGCCCTGCGCCCCATAAATGGCTGAACGCCGGAAACCAAGCTTTCTCCCAACTGAAGGAGGTGAGCAGCATTGTGCTTGAGCGAATCCGAGCATGCCACTTAACATATTTGAAGGGAGACTGGAGAGACTATAATACTATCATATATCATCAACAACAAAAAGCCTAACCATCTAATTTTAACAATATACAGTTTCAAAACACAGTCATTTTCGCCACATCGCCAAATGATCCAAAAACAAAAAAGCTGGCTTTTAGTCTATTTGGATGATGGAGCAGTTTGAACGCGTTGAGTGAGTCTGTATCCGAGGTACAAACAAAATGTTAATGCACTGGAGCAGCCTTCGGTATGATATTACATACTTATGTTACTTATATTAAAGCAGGGTGGGGAACCCGTCCGGCAGCCCGGGCCGTTAATACGGAGCCGCTAGACCAATTTGGTACGCCCGCTCGGGTAGTTTATAAACCAAAGTGGCGCTGTGCGCCCTGGTGTGGGCGCCCCAAATGTGATAATAGGGTTTCATGGCGGCCCAAAATCCCTGGGCGGGCCGCCCTGCTTACCTCCCGTCAGGCGCAAACCCCCACGTCCCTGAAACTTTGTATATTCCCAGGCATCGGCGCACCACGAGTGGGCGCGCGGCGGTTTAGAGTTGAGGGGGTAAGTATCTGTTTGTAAATGAATGTTATCCTCTGTCCAGCTTCCTTGTAGGCCCTGACCCAGTATGACAGAGCAAGTTCTCATCTCCTGATCTCCAGAGGTGCGTCTCTCCTGCTTCTATCAGAGACTGCATTGATAGGGGATGGACTTAATTGGGGCTCAAATACACGCCCGCAATGCTTATATTGCATCTTCTATCACATAAAAGGCGATGTTTTTGCTCTGCTCCAATACACTATACAACCATAGTTATTGTGGACGCCCACTAAATTGATCTGTAAATGTCTATTAATGCTTGTTTGTCCCTGGCGCACCCATTTGCAGTCCAGCTAGCCAGCTTGCAATACATTTAATACTTTTTATCATTTTATTTCCACTTGATTAATATGCATTTTCCATGTATATTTGCTATCAAACCACCAGTCCTAGGTATTTGAACTCATTCACGTTTGTCATTGGACGATCATAGTGTTAGCTGTTGGCCATCAATCTTGCGTTTATTTGTAAATACCATGTAGCATGACTTGCTTTCTGACATTTTGAATCCCCAGTTATATGACCACCTCTCCACTTTTGTAATCACTCTAGCTATATTCTCCATTACGTATGGGGCATTTCTTCCCCTCATCCAAATAGCCCCATCATCTGTGTATAGAGCCGATTGGATGCATGTGTCTAACTCTAAGCATGTAAATATATCATTAATCATGATGTTAAATAATATTGGACGGACTGCACTCCCTTGGGGAATACAATTTGCTATTTCTAAACAATTGGAAACATCTGCTCCAACCTTTACTCTAAATGTCCTGTCTGTTAAAAAGGCCCTTACCCACTCTTTAAAAGTAGAGAAAATAAATACTGATATACACCTGACCATCAGCAGGAGAGGACTCTTTAAAGTAGAGGGCCTGAAGGCAGCATGAGACTCGTGGAGACGCATTCAAAAACTTTATTCGAAACAGAGAGCTGCTCATTGTCCTCGTGTCGGTGTATTTACAGCCTAACAAATCAGCACATAGAAAACCACGAGTTGACAATACAGTACAAACAGGCGTCTCTTAAAAATATAATATAAATCATTCTTTACAGAAAACCTTCTGAACACACGTCTGTCTGCACGGCTCTATTTACAACAGGAAGCAGCCGCCCGCACCACGGCACCACAGAAGAAGAAATATATCTCCTAAAATAAAAAACTTCATAAAAAACAAACACAGGAGAAATTAAGACTTCCTGAGATTTAAATTCATATTTATTTTCCTTCTGAATTTAATCGTAGTTTTCCCGTCTCGTGTCGGGTTCTGTTTTTTAACTGAATAAATAAGGTTTTTTACTAAACAAAATATTTAATTTTCTCTGCGACAGGAAGTCTTTGTTTTTACCTAAAATAAAAGACTCTTGGTCAGTCTCAGATTTATTTAACTTCTGAATTTAATCGTAGTTTTACTGTCTCGTGTCGGGTTCTGTTTTTTAACTGAATAAATAAGGTTTTTTTACAAACAAAAAATATTTCATTTTCTCTGCAACAGGAAGTCAGCTCTGAGTTATAAAAACAGGAAGTCAGGAACTTTATATTCTAATCTTTTATTCTTAAAACATTTTTTAATTAACGAGAGAAAAATAAACTCATTTGCATAACGAGCTGTGCTGCTTAGTTTCTCCCTCCCCCCCCCGGGATAAACTGTGGCTTTATTTTGAAATCAGGAGCCGTTTCCTGTGGCGACAGACGGCTGTTCTCAGACAGGAAGTTAGTCCACAGGTGTGTTTCCCATGAGGCCTCAGAGGTGGCGCAGTGGGCGGAGTCTGTGTTGGGGGTGGTGCCTGTGTGCGTGTCATCACCTGCACTCCACAGCCACCGTGTTCTGCGTGGGCGACGCTGAGGACGGAGACATGGCAGCATCCGAAGAGCCGGAGGATGTCAAGGGGGTGGTGTTAGNAGTAGTTGTTGTAGTTGTCCACTGTGCCACCTCTGAGGGCCTCATGGGAAACACACCTGTGAACTGACTTCCTGTCTGAAAACAGGACTAACTTCCTGTCTGAGAACAGCCGTCTGTCGCCACAGTAATTGGCTCCTGATTTAAAAATAAAGCCACAGTTTATCCCGGGGGTGGGGGACTAAGCAACACAGCTCGTTATGCAAATGAGTTTTTTTTTCTCTCTTTAATTAATATTTTTTTTAAAGAAGAAAAGTAAAGATTAGAATTTAAAGTTCCTGACTTCCTGTTTTTATAGCTGAGAGCTTTTATTTTGGTAAAAACAAAGACTTCCTGTCGCAGAGAAAATTAAATATTTTTGTTTGTAAAAAAACCTTATTTATTCAGTTAAAAAACAGAACCCGACACGAGACGGGAAAACTACGATTAAATTCAGAAGGAAAATAAATATGAATTTAAATCTCAGGAAGTCTTAATTTCTCCTGTGTTTGTTTTTTTATGAAGTTTTTTATTTTAGGAGATATATTTCTTCTTCTGTGGTGCCGTGGTGCGGGCGGCTGCTTCCTGTTGTAAATAGAGCCGTGCAGACAGACGTGTGTTCAGAAGGTTTTCTGTAAAGAATGATTTATATTATATTTTTAAGAGACGCCTGTTTGTACTGTATTGTCAACTCGTGGTTTTCTATGTGCTGATTTGTTAGGCTGTAAATACACCGACACGAGGNCAGTAGTAGTTGTAGTAGTTGCAGTAGCAGTGGTAGTTGTTGTTGTAGTAGTTAGAGACTGGGGAGAAGTAAAACACAACAACATTATTATTGTTAGTATTACTACAACAACAACTACCACTGCTACTGCAACTACTACAACTACTACTGCTACTACAACAACAACTGCTACTGCTGCTACTACAACAACTACTACTGCTGCTACTAATACTGCTGCTACTACAACAACAAATAGTACTACTACTACTACTACTACTACTACTCGGCAGATTAATGAACAGTGAAACTCGCTCATGGACTTTAAGGTGAATACTTTAAGAAAAAGCTTTCTCGCACTCTTAAAAGCACTATGGTTTTTCTCCAGTGTGAATACGGTGATGTTTTTTGAGAGAACTTGATTGAGTGAAAGTTGTCCCACACTCTTCACAGCTGTACGGTTTTTCTCCCGTGTGAACACGAAGATGTGATTTGAGAGCATCTGATCTAGTGAATGTTTTTCCACACTCTTCACAGCTGTACGGTTTTTCTCCAGTGTGAATACGGTGATGTTTTTTGAGAGAACTTGATTGAGTGAAAGTTGTCTCACACTCTTCACAGCTGTACGGTTTTTCTCCAGTGTGAATACGGTGATGTAATTCTAGAGCACCTGATGTAGTGAAAGTTTTCCCACACTCTTCACAGCAGTACGTTTTTTCTCCCGTGTGGATACGTTGATGTGTTTTGAGAGCACCTGATTGATTGAAAGTTGTCCCACACTCTTCACAGCTGTACGTTTTTTCTCCCGTGTGAATACGTTTATGTATTTTGAGTTGACTTGATTTAGTGAAAGTTGTCCCACACTCTTCACAGCTGTATTCAGACAGGAAGTCAGTTCACAGGTGTGTTTCCCATGAGGCCCTCAGAGGTGGCACAGTGGACAACTACAACAACTACTACTGCTACTACTACTCGGCAGTGAAACTGGCTCATGGACTTTAAGGTGAATACTTTAAGAAAAAGTTTTCCCACACTCTTCAAAGCACTATGGTTTTTCTCCAGTGTGAATACGGTGATGTTTTTTGAGAGAACTTGATTGAGTGAAAGTTGTCCCACACTCTTCACAGCTGTACGGTTTTTCTCCTGTGTGAATACGTTGATGTGTTCTGAGAGCGCCTGATATAGTGAACGTTTTCCCACACTCTTCACACCAGTATGGCTTTTCTCCAGTGTGAATACGGTGATGTTTTTTGAGAGCATCTGATGTAGCAAAAGTTGTCCCACACTCTTCACAGCTGTACGGTTTTTCTCCTGTGTGAATACGGTGATGTATTTTGAGAGCACCTGATGTAGTGAAAGTTGTCCCACACTCTTCACAGCTGTACGGTTTTTCTCCTGTGTGAATACGTTGGTGTATTTTGAGATGACTTGATGTAGTGAAAGTTGTCCCACACTCTTCACAGCTGTACGGTTTTTCTCCCGTGTGAATACGTTGATGTATTTTGAGAGCCTCTGATTTAGTGAAAGTTGTCCCACACTCTTCACAGCTGTACGGTTTTTCTCCCGTGTGAATAAGCAGGTGACGTTTTACATTTCTAGATGTTGTAAAGGATTTGTCACATTGCTGACAGCTGTGACGTCTCTCTCTTCCTTTCGGTTTCTAGAACAGACGGACAGAGAAAGTCAATCTAAAAAGCATGAATACACAAGTTAACACAATAACAACTAACTTAATACAAACCTTGAGTTAACAAAATACTACTTATCAACTGTTTGTGTTTATTATATTTTTATTATATTTGATACAGTAATACAGCAACATTCTAACCACAGTATACCAGAGGTGGGGGACTCGAGTCACATGACTTGACTCAAGTCACATATTTGTTTACTTGAGACTTGCTTGAATAACATTGATAAAAGTTATTTGTTCAAGCACCGGATCGGCAAAACAGGAGAGTCTGTGAACCAGTCTGCCTTGACCTATGTATTCATGTCTGTGACTTTCACAGTATCTGCTGCCCACAGCTGTTTTATAGAAGGAAAACCTCCTTCACTTCATGAAATCTCTGCAGCACCAGGAGGCAGTAACGTGTGACTCAGCAGAATCTGAGAAAAGCAGCACCAGCTGCAAAGAGCTGTGCCTTTTACTGTTTACTTCACTGTGTTTACCTTCATTAGAACAGCTAAAGAGCGACCGCACGTTTTAACCGCACGTTTTAACCACACGCACCTCTACACACACACCAAAGTTCCCGTTAGCCTGTAATTACCGGACTATGACCGGTCAAATATGCTGAAGACGGGCAAATCTAAATCTCTCCGGTCAAAATAATTTCCCCTTAGCGCAATACCGCATCAGTTGCGCCACTTATGTGACAGACAAGAAGAGTATGTGAGAGACAAGAGTATGTGAGAGACAAGAAGAGTATGTGACAGACAAGAAGAGTATGTGACAGACAAGAAGGGTATGTGACAGACAAGAATAGTCAATTCTAATGTCTAACACTTAATGTGGAGAAAGATATCCTGTTGTATGGGTTGATTGTGCGTTGATCTGTTGGTAATGCCTCTGGGTTCTGGTGGGCATGTAAACAAATGCATAATGCTGCGCTATACTTTGTAGCCTCACCCGGTTGCATAGCGACTAGTAGGGATGGGTACCGAGAACCGGTACTAAGTCAATACCGGTACCTGATTGGACGGTATCGGTATACCGTTAAGCTGCTGGACAAACGGTGCTGCTATTGGTATATGTGTTACGTCTACTTCCTTAGTTTAACTTTAAACCATTCTGGTTGGTTGGGAACCCTCATCCCGTGTGATGTTTCCGGTTTGAGACCCCTCTGATTGGCCACTGTAAATGCCACTCATCATGTCTCTCAACAGTGCTCTTATTATTGTTGTGAGACTCCCGCAGGCATGGCGGACAGAGCGAAGCGATCGAAGGTCTGGGTGCACTTTAAAAAAATGTAGTGGCGATAGAGCAAGGTGCAATCTATGTACTCAATTAGTTGAGTGTAAAGGGGGTAACACAAGCAACTTAATGAAGCATTTGCAAACGAGACACTCATTGAATCTAAAACGGTGCTAGCGATACTGCTAGTGCTAGCGGGCTTCAGCCGCGCCGTGTGTAAATGTGACCTGAGCGAAGGCTCGCAGGCAGGTTAGCTGCTGCGCACGGGTAATATGTTTTGTTTACCTGAGTGCNATTTCCCATTTCATTTATAATGTTGGATGTTCAATAAAGAGTTCTGTTTGAAAGGATGTACTTGAATTATTATTATATATTATCATTATGTCAGTGGTCTAAAATGGTCTTACAACGGTGCCCACAATATTATTGTTTATCGCAATAATTTCCGGGAAAATGTATCGTCCAACAAAATGAATTATCGTACAGGCTTAGGTACCACTAGTAAATTGTCAACGGGGGGGGGGGGGCACATCGGGAGATGGCCAGTCCGCCAGTTACTGTCAATGTGGTATGTTTCCAACTATTGTACATATTGTATTACACTTTATTACTAGAATACCAAAAAAGGTGGACAGCCAATGAAAAACTAGTATTTCAGCGAACTTAGTACATTTAAATTTGTCCGAATGATGAGATACATAGGTTCTTTTCAATTTAAGACATTAAAATTAGAATATATGTATGTTTCTTTTCACTAAGGAGGGTTTTAAAATAAAATATGTCCACATTTATTACACAGATTGTGTGAACGCCCAGCCTCCAGCCAGCAGGAATCCTGTATTTGAGCCCATGTTTAGAAGGGAATATGCAGCAGGCCCTTTGTTGTGTTTTTCACCACGAAGTTTATCTTATCTAGAGGTCCATTGCTGTCATAAAGCAGAGAGCGGGGAGAATCATTGCAGGGCAGGGCGGTCATCTATCACCAGGGCACAGGCTCCAAACCTGGCTACCACCGAGCTAGAATTAAAAGCAACAATAGAATCTGCTATTACAAACATATACTTGTATTTCAAGTGGACAATAAGCCGCACAATCTAGCGTGCATAATTTAGACTTAACAAAGGAGCAGGCTATAATCATCTAAAAATGGATAATATAAGAAACATCATGCTTCAGGGGAAAATATCTTTCCTGCAACATGCTATTTTTCTTGTTTTTGCAGCACGTAGCAGCATGACACACCCTCCTCTTCTAGTATTGATTACCACGTACAGAGATATTGGAAATCATTAATATTCCGGCTTGTGGTATCAGGTGTAAACAATTTCTGCAAACAGGCTCAGTGAGCGGTCAGACATGTGAGGAGCTCCATCATAGTCTTGACAGAATTAATTAATACTGGGCCATATTTTAAGTTGATAAGTTAAGTTTTAAGTCGATTTCTGGTGCATTCATCCTGACATTTTAGTGTTATTAACTTTTCTGTTCACAGAGTGCTTTCCCTTTTCCATTCCACTTTTCCACTCAATTTAAAGACACTGGTAATGTGCGTGTAATTGTGTGTGAGGATGAAAGAGTAGAGTATGCTCGGGCACACAATCTACAGCTGTATGCGTCGCCCACCTGCACGCATATGTCTGTAAATGCAAAGCTGTGGTTCTGTGTGAGAGATAGTCAAACTAATAGGAAAATACTCTGAAACGTAAGTATACTTTGAAATGTAAGGCTGTAGGGCAGGGGTCGGCAACCTTTTTGATATGAAGAAAAAAATTGTTACCAGCGTGCCTAAGATGGTAAATTATCAACGGGGGTGGGGGGGCAGAGGGAGGGGTGACTACACACATTATCTGTCTGAGAGCGGCTCAAACTACACGGCCGCAGCAGCCTCTATCTCCTCTCTGCTGACTCCAACATCTAACATTCGGTGCCAATAATCGCACACTTCTCCTGTTCAATGGTCGCTGGCAATTGTTCATTCTGATAGGCAATAACTGCTTTATTCAGAGAGACAAAATGAGTGAAGAGGCAGTGCTGAGGGATACAAATGGGAAAAGTATCTCAGTCGCGAGAAAGTCAGATAAAAACCTTCAATTATTTAAATAAATGTTAAAAGAAAAAGGCTTGTGAGACTATTTTTGCACTATGGCAAACAATGCCCAGAGTGTCAGTTGTTAATTTTACTTTTAAAAACAGATTTAGATGCATGTTATTTAATTTAACCCATTTTAATAAGTCCATAATCATATCTATATGTATCTAAATGTAAGTATATCCCCACTGGTTCCTACAACACTTCACTAATGAATCCACTGGTCTTTTTAGAAGCAATCCTGCCCCCTGGTGGTGAAAAGCTCAGAGAAAATCCACAATAGCTAGAGGGCGTGAACAGTGTATCTTACAAAAAGTGAGCTAAGGCAACAATGTAAATGTGTCCTTGATGATAAAACAATGGTCATAAAGACGATTGCCATTTTCAATTCTAATGACTGTTTAATAAAGGTCATGTTATACTAATAAAAGTCTTATCATAAAGCAAAGGTCTGTCATTAAATAAGAGCTGTCAGCATAATGGTTTAACGTGTATGAGTCATGTTATCAGGGCGATCATTGGACAAAGTCTTATGTAACTCTGTTGGTTTCTCTTTCTGTTCTTGTATAGGCCAAAGATATATATATTATTAGTAACTTCAAATACAAATGGGGTTTCAGGTGTAACAGGAACAATATTGGCAGTTTCTTTCTCTTTTTCTTAAATGATGTCATGTTTGGGCGAATGGTACAAAATTGGCTATTTATGTTGATTGTCTGCTTGTTTGGAAGTCTCTCGTCGTCCTTTCACTCGATAGGTCAGTCCGCATCAGACCACACTGTATTTCCTCTGAGTAACCATGTCTGATCCATTCATTAAACGCCCCCTCAACCAACAGACACACAGGAAGCCAGCGTGAAGCAGTGTGAGCAGAAGTGGATTTCTCAGAGACAGACGGTGGTGAGAAATCCACTTCTTCTCACACTGCTTCACGCTGACTTCCTGTGTGTCTGAAAAAAGAAAGCTTGAACATTTATTTTTCCAACTTTATTGTAACAAAACAATTCCAAATGTACAATCCTCACTTCCTCACAGAGTTGTGCACCGAGAAATAAGTTAGCATTTTAGCACTACACTTTGTCTTGAAGTCAGTGGTTTGTTGAATGGGTTTTGAGTTAGATTCCCGAAAAATAATGTCTGAGGTTCATCAAAACGTAAAATATTATCACGTTTTGTTCTACAACATAAAATACTTAAGTTAATATCCAACTCGTGAACATCTGCTTTAACCCTGTCTTCGGGTCAAATCTGACCGATTTACTACTTTCATCAATCATAACCTTTTTGTTTTACATTCGATTGCTTTATGATATCCTTCACAGTAGACATTTGAACATATTGCTGATCACCACTTTGTTTGAATTTTGGATGATTTAGTCAACTTTGTAACGCCCATGGTGTTCCCGGACAAAAATGACCGCCATGAAGAAAAGGAATTAGTAACCATCCGGATCAGATAAAACACACCCACCCNAAACGACACCCTCTGTCCTTAGACCCTCACATCGTAGGAAAAACTTCCAGAGAAAACCCACAGTTTAAAGGGGAAAATGGGAGAAACCTCAGGGAGAGCAACAGAGGAGGGATCCCTCTCCCAGGACGGACAGACGTGCAATAGATGCCGTGTGTAAATCGAAGAGATAATACATTTTACAGCATATAGACCGAATGTTAGGAAATGCATGTGTCTGTAAAGATGAGGAAGTGAGCCAGGTGTTGAGCTGCATTGCTAGCTGGCTTGGCGTACAGGTGCTTTCATACCAACCAACACCACAAGAAGAGTTTGTATCAAGCTTTTTTTTATTTGAAAAAAAAGATAAAAAACATTTACCCAAGCTGAATAACACAAACAGGTTGATCTGGAATTCTTGAAATGTTTTTTATTGCACAAAAAATTCCGTTACTAAAAAAACGTACTTTGAAACCTTTTACAAAACTGTTACCTTTGATTTGCGTTTTCACACTAAACCATCTCTTTGTGTGCACGACAAGAGTAAAGAGTGCCTCTGTCTGTTGTAATGAAAGTGAGACACGCTGGGATTTACAAACCGCTGGGGAACGTTTACCAGAACCAATGATTCCCAGCAGCCAGTTTATGTGTGTTTAGCGCCGGTCAATCGATACCGTCTCCAACACCGTCCGCAGGTGTGCAGCGGGGGGGAGGATCGAGGTGTGTGTGAGCAGATCTGTGTGTGTGTGTGTGTGTGAGCAGATCTGTGTGTGTGTGTGAGCAGATCTGTGTGTGTGTGTGAGCAGATCTGTGTGTGTGTGTGAGCAGATCTGTGTGTGTGTGTGAGCAGATCTGTGTGTGTGTGTGTGTGTGAGCAGATCTGTGTCCTGCAGAGAGACACAGCTGGATCCTCCAGGCCAAGAGGTGTAAGCCCGCCGCTCACCGTCCCCTCCCCTCGCTGTTCTCCCGCCTCCTCCCTCCCTCCCTCCTACGGGCCTCATTATGAGAGGGAGAAAGCTCACGGACACCCTCGCCTCCTCCCCCAACTCCCGCTGCACCACGGTCATGGAGCAAGACAGAGAGAGAGAGAGGTGGGGAGAAAAAAAACGAGTCAGGTGCTAAATGTGAACGTGGATTAGTTTCTATGCCAACGCCGGGAGGACGCACTCACGCAGCCAGCCAGCCAGGGTCCCTGCAAGACACTTGTTTTTGTCCCTCTTGTTTTCTCTCCTCTCCTGCCGTCCCTCCCTCCCCTCGGTGCTCTCTCTATCAGTAGGGGAGATAAGGCTGGGCCCGGTGCCTGGTATTAAACCTTATCTCTCCAGCTGGGGCGAAGGCCTGCTGGATTTGGCTACACAGGCGCTCCAGTTCAATTCAAACACGCCTTGTTTTAATGGCCACCCATTAGCATGGCTTCCCACCAGCAGGGTTTGGACATGTTTTTAAGAATCAATCCTGCACATGCTGTCGCTGGTTACCAAGTCTTAACATTTATATCATCTCTCACTAGAACTTTTACACGCATGCAGATACATTTTAATTGATTGGTGTGACTTTTTCCCGTTGTGTTCACACTGCCTTTCCATTGGAGCTACAACCACCGTTTCCTTTGTGTGATATTTCCTCCTGATGCTGCTGTCCCTCTCTGTATGAGGGTTGAGAGAGAGAGAGAGAGAGAGAAGGAGAGAGGTGG